CAATGATGGTGCCAACTTGGGCCAGTGAAGCAACGTCCTCCACAACTAGACTGAAGAACAAAAGGACAGCAACTTATCTGTTCCCCTTCCCCCAATTCCCCAATAAAAATCTTTAAAAAAACCCACAAAAAACAAAACAAAACATGAGGAATTCAGGATTGGAGGAACAGATTTTAGGAATGCCACCTTAATGAATCACTGTCCGGGGTCTTTATCTATATTAGTAATCCAGAGTTAACTAAACTCAACAACCTAAACTCACCTAAACTCACGAAGACTAAAGGTGAATAATTTACAGCGATAACTACTTACTTCAAGGAAGCAACATGCATGGGTAATTTTATAGTATGTAAACTGTATCTCAATAAAGCCTTTCTTACTTTAAAGGAACCAATACTCTTGTGTTTCATGAATACTGAGAATTAGAGTAACCTGATAAACATGAGAAACATGAGTTCAGATTAAAAAAAAAAGATACTTTTAAAGAATATTTTATGAGGACCAAAGGGACTCACTTCTGTCCACAAAGGAGGATACATCTTTACTTACAATGATGTGCCCAAGATACATACTTCACAATTATATATCTTCTAGCTTTTCCTTTCAAATGCCCTGGTGATGTTTAGAAATCAATCTATGTAAGTACTCCTACAGTACGAAAGAGTAAATGCACATACCAGGGTGGAAATGAATAGCAGCAGCCAGTCTAAAAGAGCCCATCAGAAGTCAGCGTTTCTTTTAAACTTCATGGTTTTCCTAGCATATACCGGTGAGAAAATAATTTTAAAATGCAAAGTTTGAAAGTTTTTAATTCCAGCTCTCTTCCTGTCTCATGATGGTGCAGGATCAAGGTGAAAAGGAGAACCCCATGCGGGAGCTTCGCATCCGCAAGCTCTGCCTCAACATCTGTGTTGGGGAGAGCGGAGACAGGCTGACCCAGGCAGCCAAGGTCCTGGAGCAGCTCACAGGCCAGACCCCTGTGTTCTCCAAAGCTAGGTACACCGTTAGATCCTTCGGCATCAAGAGAAATGAAAAGATTGCCGTCCACTGCACAGTCCATGGGGCCAAGGCAGAAGAAATCTTGGAGAAATCTGGTCTGAAGGTTTGAGAGTACAAGTTACGAAAAAATAACTTCTCAGATACTGGAAACTGGCTTTGGGATCCAGGAACACATCGATCTGGGAATCAAATATGATCCAAGCATTGGTATCTACGGCCTGGACTTCTATGTGGTGCTGGGTAGGCCAGGTTTCAGCATTGCAGACAAGAAACGCAGGACAGGCTGCATTGGGGCCAAACACAGAATCAGCAAAGAGGAGGCCATGCGCTGGTTCCAGCAGAAGTATGATGGGATCATCCTTCCTGGCAAATAAATTCCCGTTTCTATCCAAACGGCCAATAAAATGTTTTCCATGAAATGTAAAAAAAAAAAAAAAAATGTTTTTAATTCCAAATCTTTAGGAATAAATGATATAGGAATGTGTGTTATAGATTTACCTGTGACTTTATATGCCCTAAAAGATATCAAATACACCCTATCAGAGAAGTAAAGCTCAAAGCTAAACACCTCCTTCTATTCTTACCATCTTTTGCTAAAAGCAAAAATTGACAAGGTTGATGTAACTGCTGAAACAGAATCACACTCTCCATGTATCCCTCTAGAGCTGATCTGAAAAGCTGTCACTCGCTGCCACAGAGGGATTATACCAGCTAACTGAGTCTTAATGACCACTTTCAGCTTGTATATCTCTCAGTTCTTTGAGACATTTTATCACTTAAACAAAACAAAAATATCATAAAAGGAGATGATACTTTTTATATGCAAACTATTTATTGAACTATTATACTATTTAAAATATCAAAGAGACCACAAAAATGATAGCATTCAACAATTTTAGGTAAGACTTCAGGGTCAGCTGTTTTATTAGTCAGCTTGTGTCAAGTTTAACAGCAACTGGATACGACTGTGGAGACTCGCGGCTGGTTCAGACTCCGGTTCTACTCGGGCAATGCAGAGCTTCTGTGATGCTTTTATTGTACTCTGCAATCTGCTTGGTCACGTTGTTCATAATTAGCTGGTAATCACTCTCTTGACTCTTGGTTGCTATAACTAATTACATGAGTTAAGGGGAACACTGTCAATAAAAATACTAATCTAATTGTGGCTCAGAAAGGAACCAAATCATGCTAGTATTTTCCTTATTGGAAACTGAAGATGGCACACAAAAAAAGCACAATTAGAATATTTTTTAAAAACAATAGATTATTTTAACAGATTAAGCATCAACTGAAACCTAAAAGGCCAAGCAAAACCGATTTCAAAAAAGTTCACTTATAATATAAGGCTTTTATATAGTTAATATGTTATGCATCTCAGTCTAATTATGGTCTTAGAACAATTGGATGCTCAAAGGAACCATGTTCTCGAGTACCACAAAGAATTTCAGGCAAGTCTCTACACTTCACTCTATTTCAAAATTACCTACTTGTTGCTGCATAAAACTAGAGTGCTGGACGTTAGCATATGGTGAATGGGAGTCTTTTGCTTTTAAGTGAAGTTGCATAACCACTAGGAATAGAGCCCCTAATGCATGTCATTTGGAGGTAAGCTGTGGTCCATGCTGCCCTCAGCGGAAGTTCAGCCGTGTCCCAGAGCAGAACCTACTCGTACGCCACAATGAGTCGGCATCCGATTTTCCAAGCAGAAATGTCCTTGAATGGGTCAAAGAAGGGAACAGAAAACTACCTGGGGAAATGTTTCTTATAAGCTCACAATACATGTCCTCAGCAGCTGTTTCCTTCTGTGGTCACACAAAAAGATAAGGAAGAAGATGGGACATAGGTACCATCTTGGTAGAAATAACATGAAGTTGACTTGTCTGAAACACACTATGACTTTGTAGACTGCTTTCCATTAGTTACTTTGCTACACACACACACACACACACACACACCCTAACTTGTAGAGTGGAAACTCTTATACTTTTCTTCCCCACATAGTTTAGCTCCGTGTTTTGTACATATTAAGTATTTGATAAGTGTGCTGAATTGAATTTCTTTAGTCTGTAAAGAAATTCCTAGGAAAGCAAATCACTTGGTTACAGTTCATCTGCAGCTTTAAAGGATACATTCTTTCATCACAAAATTATTTTGCTCATGGTGTTGCCACTTCCTCTCCAAATTCGTAAGCTAAAAACACAAAAGAAAAATGTTGACCAGTGGTCATACTCAAAACAATTATTAGAAACCCTTTCAAGAGGATAAGGAACAAAAAAAACACTCAATTTTAAATCTTATCAACTCCTTGCGTTTTATTGAGATAAAGCTATGGTAGACGAAAAAGAACTTTAGGAAATACTAAACAATAGTAAATATATTAATAAATACAATGTTGAATGTGACAAGAGGTTTTACTCTATGTTTATTTTAATAGAAAAATATTAAAAATACTTATTATACCAATGAACATGCCAACTGAAAGACAATTTATGGTTTTTCCCTTTCCTAAAAGAACTTTAAAAAAGACGAATGGGACATGATGTGAATCTCTCCTTAAAATCTGGACATCTAATGCCACAAATGTAATATATATATTCTAACACTGTCAAAGGTTCAGCTCTATAGGACAAACTTCCTTATTTCCAGGGCTACATTTCCTGTCTAATTCCACAAGCTGTGATAAGAACAGCGCTGCAGTGTGAAGATTATAAGGGGGCTGGTAAAAAGCTGGCACTGTTACAATAATTTCTGCATCAACAGGAAGCTAATGTGGATATTATATTGATGGTTGCTTCCTCAGAAGACAATTTTACTGTTATAGAATTAAATTGTTTTTCTGATTTAATTAACCTTGTAACTCTAGGTTATGGTCTTTCTTTTTTAAGATGCACATAGTTTTTTTCCTAAGCAAAGGATCATCTGGAAAATGACAAAATGTTTTGCTTTGGCATTTCTAAGAAGTAATGATAACTTTTAAAAATCTGATCATTTGAATCAGCTTTAGTAGTATTTCTTCATGCTCTCATGTTAAAATTATTTTCAGGGAATAAGTTCAGTCTTAATGTAGTATCCATCCTATTGTTTCCTCCAAAGAGACAAATCTAGATAGTAGGGTGAATCATAACTAATTAATTACGTGAACTTTATGTGTTGTGAGTTAACACTACACATCAGATCTTGCTCTGCCCCAGATAGGACCTTGAAATCAATGTGAACTTAAGGAAGCAGTCAGCACTTTTTGACAATAAATCTCTAATAACCTTTTGCAAAGTCAAGTACCAAACTTTTCCCCCTTTGTTTCTTACAAAAAGGTGGCCTTCTTATAAAGAAGCAGACCTCTTAAGTGCTACACGAATAATGCTATAAAGCAACAGTGTGTCAGATGGTCAAATTCCTTCTATATTATACATCTGTATTAGAGACTTGCCTTTAAACCTCTGAGAATATCATGAAGCGTAAATCTGTTTGTTCCCTGCAACCTATTGAAAACATCTGTTATAAGTCTTTATATATTTTGGATATTAACCCCTTATCAGATACATGATTTACAAATATTTTCTCCTTTTCTATAAGTTGTTTTTTCATTTTGTTGATTGTTTCTTTTGCTGTGCAGAAATTTTTCAGTTTGATGTAAGCCCACTTATTTATTTTTGCCTTTGTTGCTTGTGCTTTTGGTGTCATACGAAAAAATCACTGCCAAAATTAATGTCAAGGAGCTTTTTCCCTATGTTTTCTTCTAGGAGTTTTACAGTTTGTTCCAATATAAATATGTTTGAATGATTTCAAATAACTAATAGCCATCCATTCAAAACAAAGTCTGTTATGCAAACTTATTTACAGATGTCAAAAACTAGTTTTCCATAAAACAGTTGCAAAAGAGGTAGATCAGGATTTGATGTGATTAGCTGGGCTTCACAGAAGTCAACAAACAATACAGAGAAGGATTATACGTTGTGGCTTATGTTATGAATTCCAGTTATCAGTATATGGGCTTACGAATATGATTAGCATTTAATATGGAAATAAACAAAGTAGCCATTGGCTGGTTCTAAGAAGTTGTGTTTGTCAAGTGTTTTCCTTCTTAAATCATCTATTCAGTGGAAGAGGAAGGTCAATATTCCCTAAGAAATATCAATATTTTTCCCTAAGAACATTTAAGACGATGACCCCATAAACATTTTTTAGGATTCTTCTCCAGTACCCATCTCTACTCTAAACAGCTGAGGATAATTTTACCACTTATCAGTCTATACTTGGGTTTGCATATTATGAAGTAGAGACAGAGTAAATGACTGATAAATTTGAATTATGTAAATCAGTGATTGCTAAGCTTTTAGTAGTTGTGGCAAACACTGATGAGACTCTCCTCTTTTCAAGAAGAATATAAGGTGTATCTTTTTTTTTAAAAGGTACATCCATACAATGAAATAGCTGATGTCATAAAAACGCCATCAAAAAAGAGCTTGAAAATATTTAAGAAAATAAATGCTAAAACACTGCATTCATACAGTGATTTCATTTTTTATAAATACAATATAATTAACATGGGTATATAATTACACACGGGTGTATAATTACAAATTTTACAAAATGCTATACCAAAATGTTAACAATGATTGTCTGTCATGATCATATTATATAATGAAAAAGAAGAAAAATTGTTAATGCATTTAGCATTAGTAAATCATAGTTGCAAATTGCTAATATAGACTAATTAGATATGAGAATGACCACACATGACCCACATACTTCATTTAATGCTCCAACAAATACTTGTTCAACACCTATTATGTAACAAGCACTAGCACAGTGCTGGGGAGATAATGATGGGACAGACATCATCTCTACCCTCTTAGAGTTCTCAATCTAGAAGAACTCAGACTTTGCTCAGGTAATTATCAGTAGGATGGGTGACATGAAAAGGGGGCTTGTTTGTGCATCCTACATAAATCATCAGAGATGTAAATCAAGAAGTTCAAGGACAGTACTGCTCTTTACAGCATTATTTGAATAGTTTTAAAAGCAGAAATAACCAAAATGTCCAATAACAAAGAATTGGTTCAGTAAATTATGCTATATCCATGTAGTCCAATATATAGAATCATATTTAAAAAAAATCTATAGACAAGGGAAAGTACTTACAATGTGTAGTTAATAATGAAAAACAAGTTTCTAAATAATATGTCCAAAATGACACCATTTGTATAAATATATAAAAATAAATGTGCACTTATATATGTACACATAACACATACATATAGGCTAGAAGGACCCACACAAAAATGATAAGAATTATCTCTTCTGGGTGGTGGGTATTAGTCATTAGGGTTTACTTTCTTTATTTGTAGATTTTGAGTTAGAAAAGTTTCTGCATCCAAAATGCTTTACTTTTGAAAATTATAAAAACTATTATCCTAATAGCTTTGCCCGGAACAGTGCCTAGCACAGAGTAGGCCTTCAAAATAGGTTTATAGAGGGCAGGAAAGCAGAAATAAATTCATTCTGAGTGGAGATTGTATAGAAGCTGGCTATCTACAAGGCCAGAAAATCTGGAAAGTAAATAAAGCAGGTGGAAAAAAAAGAAAAGGATTATTTTTGGAGTGAAAATACAGATTAACAGAATAGGACAGATAGTCTAAAAATAACAATGAATTTCAGAGTCTCTTTTTTTTTTTTTACCTGAGAATGTGTCTCATTTTCTTGCAACTGTGTTTTTAGTGTCTCATATTCTATGTTTAGCTTCTCCATTATTTTCTTAAAGGCATTTCTGCGAGTCGATAATACTGTTTTCTCCTGATGTAATTTCTAGATAGATCCAAATAGAAGTAACAGATGTTAGCAAATATCTAGTAAGCCCATTTGAACTGAATTTGACAAATACTTTTTTTAAGATTTTATTGGGGAATTGGGGGAGGGGAACAGCTTTGGGGAATCGGGAAAGGGGAATAGACAAGTTGCTGTCCTTTTGTTCTTTAGTCTAGTTGTGGAGGACATCGCTTCACTGGCCCATGTTGGTATTATCATTGCGCTCTTCCTGGGTGAGGCAGGTTGGTCGCTGGCCACTGGACGGCAGCTCACGCTGGCTGCCACGGTAGGTTACGGGAGCCCACTGCAGCTCCACTGCAGCCTACCCCGTCGCAGGCGACTCACGGCAGCCCAGCTCCAGGTTGAGCTGTTGTTCACCATCTTAGCTGTAGAAGGCACAGCGTCACTGACCCTAATGTGGGATCCAAACCGGGGCTCTGCTGCTCAGAGCTGGAGTCCCAAGCCAACTCCTAACCAACGCTGTATGTAAAATTATCCTCTGAACTATAAGCTAAATTAATAATTAGGTGTATTAATAATAACTCTTTAAGGTCATCACATATATTCCTACTCCACCAAATTTATGTTAATGTACATGGCAATGAAAAGTCACTGACAATTCTTAAGTAGGAAAATATAATCAAATCTGCTTTTAACAAAGTCCCTATTTGTTGAAATGCTCTATCCCTTGCTTTTCAATTTTGCCTTTGGTTTAAAACTTAAATCACTCTAAACTCCAACTATATATGTAAACATCTTTATTTTCCTTAACATATACTAAATAACCAATTGAAAAAAAAAAGTTCTATAAACTACATATACCGGGGATGCCAAAAAAGTGTATTCAAGTGGACACTTTGGCCAACGTTGTTCAAGCAGTAGTTTGCTGTAATCAGAAGTGTCTGGATGCTGATGGTAACCACTTTGATCACCTCTTGTAACTGCAGAAGTCAAACGTGACTTGTACTCATCTTTTGTTATCAGTATATACTGAGTGTTACAATTTTAATACAATTTCCCTTTCTTAAAATGTGTATACATTTTTTGGGCACCCTCTGTACATTAAATTTTATCAAGAAAAAACAACTTGAATTATGATTTTGTAATACTCTATTACCATTTACCTTTTTCTTTTCTTCACCTGATGATTTTAAAGCTGGCAAATCATTAAATGTCTCCAGATCAGTTATCATTTGCTTAATTTTGTTTTTTAGAGAATGTTGTTCCTCAGTCATCTTACTTTCCAGAAGCTCCATTTTCTGTAGATCCAACTGTAGACGTTGACTATCTGAAACAGGAAATTCAAGTCCATAATTAGTCAAAACTTTATTCCTCTCACAAAAGGAAATGCAACTCAACCATTAAAAATCATGTTTAAAAGAGTATTGGCAAAAGAAATATGTTCACTCCAACCAGTGAGACAATACAAACGTAAATTAAGAAAACAAAAATATCCATCCTCCAGGTAACCAACATAACCAGATGTATATTATTGGGATGTCGGAAAAGTCATGACTTATTTTTTCTATGTTTTTCGTTGCTAAAATGCGTCATGACTTTTCCGACAGCCAATAGCTATCCTTATCTCTATGCTCATATGAACATATAAAAAGACAGCGTTTTTTTTTCCCCTTAATAATGTAACACATTTTGAGATAAAACCCATTATTTTTAGTAGGTACATGACACATACATAGTCATGTGAGGGTAAAGCAAGTTATGAAATATAAAATTTTATAATTACATACACTGCCAATTCTCATTATTTGCGGTAGCCTATCAAGTCACCATAGCACTAAGTTAGCAAATACTGAACTACTGCTCCTAGGGGAAATACAGGGTTAGGTTCCTGTGGGCCTCTGCATCAACTGACTAATATAAAACCTTGTTTCATGTGTTTCTGTTTAAACACACTGTATGTAATATATTTGCTGATTCACTAACATTGAACTCACTGCCAACGAATGCCTTAACAAAGCTTATCTAACACTTTCTCCATAAGGCACCTCACAGCCTAGGAAAACGTGTCAACACTTCTGCACTACACTTGGGGGCCATTTTAAATAGCAACATCACCACAAAAAGCATAAAAATGCGTGGAAAAGTGGCACTAAATATACCACCAAAAGGACACGTTTATGTGAACTAAAACAAGAAGGCAGAGTTGCCTTGTTTGACCTCTGCTGGGAACACACATCAGACAATTAAAGATTTTCACCAGTCTATACATTTGCACAAATGACCATGAAAGTGCTGCAAGTATTAATTTTGGGGTTATAAATTAACTCTAGGGAGTAGGTAAATTCACAAGTACAGAATCCATGAGTCATGAGGACAGACTGCTCATAGGTTCATGTTATGGAGCATGTGCTATGTGTCCGGTGCTGAGGATATAATGGAAATCAACAGACACACTGCTTTTGCTCAAGGTGCTATATTGCAGAGGTAGAACCAGGCAATTAAATAAGCATTTTAAATAAACTGCAGAGCTACAGTAGTCCCCTGTTATCTGAGGGGAATATGTTCCAGGACCCCAGTGCTTGCCTGAAACCGAGGTTAGTACCAAACCCTATATACAATGTACTATGCCTTTTTTCCCCATAATACATACCCATGATAAAGTTTAATTTATAATTTAATTCATAAACAATAATAAAAAAATAGAGTAATTTTAACAAGAAAACACGGGTTACTTGAACACAAGCACTGCGATACCAAGACAGCTGACCTGATCATTGAGGTGGCTACTAAGTGACTAATGGGCGGGTAGAATATACAGTGTGGATACACTAGACAAAGGGAGGATTCAGGTTCCAGACAGGATGAAGAGCACACAATTTAAAATAAGAATTGTTTATCTCTGAAATTTTGCATTTAGTATTTTTGAACCACAACTGACCACCAGTAACTGAAACTATGGAAAGCAAAAATCGCAGATAAGGGGGGACTACTGTGCTATGACAAGAGAAATAAGGGGTGCCATAAAAGCATGTGGTATTGGTCAAAAGAGCTCTCTAAAAACATGCTTTTTAACTGAGGCCTAAAGATTAGGAATCAACCCAACAAAAGAGAAAGTAAAAATGTTCCACAGAAAACAATCAAAATGTGCAAAATCTAGAGGTAAGAAAGCACAGTACCTCTGAGCAAGTAACAGAAGTTCGGTGTAACTAGAACTCAGTTCAAAGTAGGTGGTGGTAGGAGATAAAACTGAAAGTTAGAAGGATTTCAGCTCAAAAGGTTTTTTTTAAATCAAGGCAGGGCATTGGGACTTGATCCTAAGGGCTATAGCAAGTCATCAATAAGTTATATCAGTGTGGCAGATTTCAATTTTAGAAAGTTGGGCCGGCTGAGTGGTGCGTTGGTTAAGAGTTTGCTTAGGTCGCCAGCTCTGAGAAGCAGGGTCGCTGGTTTGGATCCCACATGAGGGCCAGTGACGCTGCGCCCTCTACAGCTAAGATGGTGAACAACAGCTCGACCTGGAGCTGGACTACTGTGAGTAGCCAGCGACAGCGGCGTAGGCAGCAGTGGAGCTGCAGTGGGCTGCCATAAGCTACCGTGAGTGGCCAGCAGCCAGCGTGAGCTGTCAGCAGCTGGTGTGAGCTGCCAGCAGCTGGTGTGAGCTGCCAGCAGCTGGTGTGAGCTGCCGTGAGCCACCATCCAATGGCCGGTGGGCGACTGCTTCACCCGGGAAGAGCGCAATGATCACAATACCAACATAGGCCAATGAAGCGGTGTCCTCCACAACTAGACTGAAGAACAAAAGGACAGCAATTTGTCTGTTCCCCTTCCTTGATTCCCCAGCGCTGCTCCCCTCCCCCAATTCCCCAATAAAATCTTTAAAAAAATAAATAAAATAAATAATACATTTTAGAAAGCTCAATCCTCTTGCAATGTGGGCAATTCATGAACTACATGCAGGACAACCAGTTAAGTGTTGACTCAGTGATCTAGGCAAGAAATCTTAGGCTGGTGTAGTCACTTTGGGGAATTTATTTTTAATTAAACAATATTTATTAAATGCTCTGTGTGTGCCAGACAAACTTCTAGGCATGGGGGATATACATATAAATGAAGCATATGACTATATATATGAAATAAACAGTTATGCAGATGGAAATAAATGAGGAAACAATAGAGGAGAGATCTGGAGGGACTCAAGAGGTATTAGGGATTTGGGATTAATTAAACAGGCAACTGACTGGGCACAGTGGCTGAACAAGGAGTCAATGTGGAATCCCATCTCCAACTTGAATAAATGAGTGGATGGTAGCGTAGGCAGAGGTACAAACTTTTGTTTGGGGGAAGGGAATGAAATGATGGTTGAAGTCCATTTAAGATATGTTGAGTTTGAGATACCTCAGAGACATCCAAATAGATATAAGTAAAGACTGCTTGAAATTGTCCCACAGGTCATTTAGACTCTGTTCACTTTTATTTCTTCTTCAAACTGCATAATTTCTATTGATTTGCCTTCAAGTTTACCAACTTTTTTTTCTGTTGTCTTCAATCTTCAGTAGTCATCTAGTAAATTTTTCACTTGACTAATATTTTCAATTCTAGAATTTTCACTTGGTTCTTTTTTCCTAATTTCTATTTCTCTGTGAGAATCTCTGTTCATTTATTATGATTTTATTTTCATTTAAGTCCTTAAATATGTTTATAAACTTTTAAAGTCCTTTTGTTTTCATTTCAACATCTGGATTATCTCAGGTTCAGTGTATAGTAACTGCTTTTCAACTAACTCAGATTTCCCACGTCTTCACATGTCTATTAAGTTTTTATGATACGTTGCAGAGACTCTAGATTCTGCTGTGCTTTCAAGAATGATTTGTATTATAAATGAGCAATAAACTTCACTGAACTGAAACTCGAAACTTTTCTCCTTTGGGGTGAGCAGCATCTGAAGTCTCTGTATTCAGGTCTTTCAACTTCTAGCTGCTGCTTTTTCCTAGGTCCCCTAAAGTTTATCCAATGCATACACAGTTCAGTATTCAGACCAGAATTTGAGTAGAGTTCATACAGGCATACCTTGGAGTTACTGCAGGTTTGGTTTCAAACCACTACAAAAAAGCAAATCTTGCAATAAAGCAAGTCACACAAATTTTTTGGTTTTTCAGTACATATATAAGTTATGTTTACACAATACTATTGTCTATTAAGCATGCAATAGCATTGTGTAAAAAAGCAATGTACATACCTTAATTAAAAAATACTTTATTGCGGGCCGTCCGAGTGGCACATTGGTTAAGAGCTGGCTTGGGATGCCAGAGGGCCCTGGTTCGGATCCCACATATGAGGGCCAGTGACACTGCCCTCCACAGCTAAGATGCTGAACAACAGCTCAACCTGGAGCTGGGTTGCCGTGAGTCGCTGGTGACGGTGTAGGCTGCAGCCCCTGCTGCAGAGGGTTGCCATGGGCTACCATGTGTAGCCAGCAGCCAGCGTGAGCGGCCAGCAGCGGCAGTGAGCGGCCGTCCAGAAGCTGGCGACTGATGTGCCTCACCCGGAAGAGCGCAATGATGGTGCCAACTTGGGCCAGTGAAGCAACCTCCTCTACAACTAGACTGAAGAACAAAAAGATAGCAACTTGTCTGTTCCCCTTCCCCCAATTCCCCAGCGCTGTTCCCATCCCCCAATTCCCGAATAAAAAAATATTAAAAAAAAAACTTTATTGCTTAAAAAAAAGCTAACCATCATCTGCACCTTCAGTGAGTCTTACCGTATTTGCCGGCGTATAAGACGACTGGGCGTATAAGACGACCCCCTAACATTTCCACTCAAAATACAGAGTTTGTTATATACTCGCCGTATAAGACTACCCCCTCTTCCGACCATATACCCAGTATGGTATCGCGATTCGCGATTTTGCGCTATCATACTGGGTGTATGGTCGGCTGTGTGCGATTTTGCGAGTGTGGTAAAATCGCATAACAGCAAAATCGCATAACAGCCGAGCATACACCCAGCAGCGCTGCTGATGCCTGAACAGTATGTGGAATGAAGTGGGCGGGCATCGGGAGGCCATTATGGCACGGGGCAAGCACTATGGGCAGTCTATCTGAAGTGTACCTGGCGTATAAGACGACCCCCCACTTGGAGGCATATTTTTCAGGGCCAAAAAATCGTCTTATACGCCGGCAAATACAGTAATCTTTTTTGCTGGTGGAGGAACTTGCCTCGATGTTCATAAAAACAGTATCTGGAAAGTGCAATAAAGCAAGGCATGCCTGTACAAAGATTGTGGTATTCAGTCTTCTTCTATGTCTCTAATATGTGGACAGGCAATGAGTAAGTTAGTTGGTTTCTTTACACAAGAGTTAGCAAAATTTACCTGAGATTAAGTTTTATTATCCACACATACTCTCTAACAGAAAAATCAAATACAAAACTGCTATTAAACCTTCCTCTTCTACCTATTAAACCAAAAAGGTTATTAATTAAAATATACCTGGAAGGTGACCTATTATAAAAATACTCATGTTCAAGAATTGGGTGCCTCTACTTATGAATATAACAATTATCACATATAATATAAATTATCAAATAATAAAAATAAATCCTTAAAAAGACGTTGATTTAAGAAAGAAGGTTGTTAGCAACCCAATTTAAGTTGCTATAATTAAACTTGAACTTTTCTTTCTGTCCCTTTAAAGTCTTAAGACTCAACCATACTAACATGTTATTTAAAAATATATATGTATATGGACTTAAATGTTATTGAGAGGGTTTTGTTTAGTTGGATTCATGTCTCTACTACAGTTCGAAATAGTTAAGAATTAAAGTGGTGAACAAGTTACTGAGGCTTATGGTTTCAACGCTCTAAAGAGGAAATGTGTACTTAGCTTGTGTATTTTGACTGTTTTCACCAGTCAAAAGTTTAATTGGAAGATATATTTGGGATATACATTTAGGAGCTATAGAAACTGCTTTTCCTAGAGAAAGGGAGAAAACGGTTGGTAAAGGGTAAAGTTTATCTTTCTTGAACAGCAGGTCCCTATGAAAAGCTAAAAGCTTCTCCAAGGGAAGAGACAGGAAGAGGATGCAGACTAGTTCCTTCTGATATGCTATGAAGTTGCAAAGTTTAACAAGCAGTGTGTACACAGTAGCAAAATCTCAGAAGGAACCACTGTGACCTGGGGAAATGTTTCCCAAATATTCTGCCATCAGCGCATTTGTTTATTCCCTGGAGTTTCCTTTCCAAAAATATAAATAAAAACTATTGCTGACATATTTCTTGCCTTTTTATTCATGCAGCACACCAGTGTTTCTTAATCTTTTTTTTTTTATTGTCCCCATAAGGAGGCTTTTGTAGACTATTTTTCCCAATCGCCTATCTCCTATAAAAATTTTATATTACAGATGTAATGTTTATCTGTTTATATACAGTGACCCTTTGGAGGGCCACAAACCATAATACCCAACATTTTTTTCACCCTCCCCCAAGAAGTAATGTGCCCCCTTGTGAGTGATATTGCCCCATTAAGAAACAGAGTGCACTAGGAAAATCAGGTAAGTTCCAATGATAGCCTTGTGGGCTGAGAGGAAGGCAATGCACAAAAGGGAAATCTATAATTCATTATCTAAATCACCTCTTACGGTGATTTCCAGATACCAGAAATTTCCTGTGGGGGATGGTATTAAGGAAAGAGAGAAAAGTTAACTTAAATGCTTGGTTTAAATTAACACTTAAATATAACTGAGTAAATGAAATTAATTATAGGGTGTCAGAGAATTCAAACCTAAGTAAGAGAAATTTTCAGTAAAGTCTTTATCATAGTAATAAACTGGATTCTTATTGCCATTGAAGCCAGTGCTATTAATAATTCTTTTCAACTCTACATCTCTGGAAAAAATATAATGACTAGTTTTTAAAAGAAAATGTAAACACAAAGTATGAAAATATGAAATACAAAGTCCTGGTTATTAAATTCATTTCTGGTATTGATATTTATCTTTTATAAAAGGCACATTTCTCAACAGCCATCACACAAAGACAGCGTAAAAGAGGCAAAAACTTGAATTAATATTGACCTTAGATAAATGAAAAATTTAAAATTATCATCTAAAACACAAAACAGAGGTTTCCTAGATGGAATAATTAAACATAAAATTCTTTAGCTTATAGAAAAAAAAATGAAGATGTAAAAATATTCACAGTTCTTCTGAATATCCAGAAGAATTGAAAATAGGATCTCAAAGAGATATCTGCACACTCATGTTCATTGCAGCATGATTCACAATAGCTGAGAGGTTGAAACAACCTAAAGGTCCATCAATGAATAAATGAATAAAAAAATGTAGTATGTACATACAATGGAATATTATTCAGCCTTGAAAAAGAAGGAAATCCTGTCACATGTTACAACATTGATGAATCTCGAGGACATTACGACAAGTAAATAAACCATTCACAAAAAGGCAACTATTGCATGATTCCATTTATATAAAGTATCTAAAGTAGTCAAACTCATAGAATTAGACAGTACAATATGGTTAGCGGGGGTACGGGGGTGGGAGGGGGAGTTGTTCAATAGACTTAAGTATCAGGTTTGCAAGGTGAACAAGTTCTGGAGATCTGTTACACAACAATGCGCGTAAGTTAACACTACTGTACACTTAAAAATGGTTAAGATGGGAAATTTGATGTTGTGTTTTTTATCGCAAACAACACTTGTAGTCAAACCAATAGTAGGTAAAAATCAAATTTAGAATTACATCCTGTAGCTGCTTGGCATATAATTCATACATACAAATAAAACTATGGCAAACAAACTAAACAAATACAGGAAGATAAAATATACTTAAATGTGTAGAGTAACAACAATTGTCCACTTACATCGTCAACCTAAATTCAATTGTGTATTAAGAGCATTCAGTATGTATTTATAGGTCCATCACCCTTTAAATAAAACTAGGCAGTTTGTGCTTTAGAATGCACTTCTTCAGATTATAGAAAAGTAATACATTAGGTACTGATACTCCCACAGCAGGGTCTGAGGCAGCATCCTGTCACCAAGTGAATGAAGACAGCTGCAGCAAAAAGCATGAACAGTCACACTAGGTAGGATGGTTAAAGACTATAAATTAGCTTCTTCAGTTCACGTCAGATTAGGCTTTGCTGCCAAAAGCTTTTCAGATTTGGGGATTCCAGATCAATGGGTATTATGGATCCATTATTCCATTTCAAGAATCTTTCAACATTACTAAGTTAGCAAATATTAAGTTTCATTCCCCATGATCTTGCTAACTGCCAGAGTAATTACAAGTAAACAAATAAAGACAGCTAATTTGGAGACATCCACATGTGTTAGCAAAAAGAACACCCATAGTTAGAATCCACTAGTTCAAAATCAAAGATTCCAAACAAATTCTTACATGACTTCAGCCTAAGCTCTTTAAGCTCAATTTGTATATCTGTTTCTAATTGCTGCCTGTACTATCCAAATGGAAGCCGCTAGTCACAAATGACTTTTGAGCATTTGAATGTCTAGTCCAAATTTAGATGGGCTGTGACTGTAAAATCTCACTGATCATTGTTATATTGATTACACATTGAAATGATAATATTTTGGATACACTGGGTTAAAGAAAATATACAGGTAGTATTAAAATTCATCTCTTTTTTACTTTTTTAACATGGCTACTAAGAAATTTAAAATTATATATGTGGCTGGCATTACATTTCTATTGGACAGTGCTGCTCTTTTCTCATGTTAGCCATCATGGCTGAAACTAATCATGATTAAAACATTACTTCCTCTAGGACACCTCTCCTAACTACCCAAGACTGGGGTGGATATGAGCCCATGTACTCCTCCTGCTCCTTATGCTTCTATCATGACCTTGTTTCATTGTATTTTAATTGTTTACTTGTTGCTCCACCATGTTGAAAGTTCCTTAAGGAAACAGACTAGATTTAAAAAAAACCAAAAAACAAAACTTCTAAATGCCCAAGTTATGGCACAACATAGAGCATGTTTTTAATAAATGTTAAATGAATAAGAATATCCCAGTGAAATACTATTCAGTTGATGTGAACAGTCACTGAAAATTCTGACACTGTAAGTAGCTGGAGCAATAGGCAATCCTAAGTTATATCCTCAGTCTTTCAAAACAAAAATCAAAGAGAATAACATTACTAGATTTTAAAAGTCCCAGTTTGTTACAGGGGAAAAAAAGATATTAAAATTGAGGTTGTTTTCTCACCTGAAGTCAAATTTCTAGCTGTACTTTGTGATTTCTGCATTTCGGTAGATTTAAAATTGAGATCATCCTGCATTATCTTCAGCTCTTGATTGGTGATTGAAGATATTTGTCTCATACGATTTATATTCTGTATTTGCAAAGAAATAAAAATGGAAAAAATTCTATAGCTTTAACCCTCCAATAAAATTCCTGGAAAACACTGCTAAAGGATTAGATGTTTTGAATGGGCATTCCTTTTTGAAATACATCATTCATTATATATGTTTCATAGGAAAATACCGTGAGGTTTTCACAATAAGGAAAGGCTAAATTAAAATTCAGAATTTTTCTTTTAAATTTGCTTTATTTCATTGTATAAAAAAATTCAACTATACTCTTTTAGGACATGATTCGAGTCTTAAATCACTAAGAATATTGAAAAGAAACAAGCATTTTTCCTCCTGTGGAACCACACACTAGTAGCTGCTCAGTATACATTTATTGATGAATTAAGGTACTCATATGTATCTCACAGTCTTGTAGATTCTTACAAGAATAGAAATCCTTGTATTTAAACAGAAATTACAGTGTAAACATATATTAACATTTTCAAATATATCTAGATTTTGAAGTTATCTGTGCAAATGCTACTTCTACCAATTCTGATAGATTAACAATGGAAGGAAATCTTATTAATTACTCGGAATTAGTCCCTCACTTACTGCTGAATATTGGTATTATACATATGGCATCTTTTTTCCCTCCTATCCAACGAATTAGCTGAATTTGGTACAAAGATAAATATTACTAGCTTAAGGAAATAAAATAACAAGCAAGGGAATTTAAAGGAAACAGGTTAAAGGAGCAAATGGAACAGTGACCCCGCGTTTGTTGAGTTGTGTCTGGAAAAGGGAACCACAGGGAGAATACTGCGGACACAGGGACCGGTACATGTACTGACCCGGCTACTGTGCTCCAGGAGTGCAACCACGCTGGCTTCCAGCTGAGCCTTCCGCTCTACCTCCTGATTCTTAGTTTCCTCAAAAGTCTCAATAAAACCTGCCGATCGAGAAATATGATGACGAGCTACTGTTGATACAGTTAACAATTCTGATTTGTGGGTTAAGAGTATGTTTTAGAAATTCAAAGCAAATTTTAATATTTTATTACCGCAAGAATAATTAAATTACTCAATAAGAACATTTCTACATACTTTCAAACTTTTAAAGCTTCATTGTTATGAACTTAATATAAGTAAACTAAAATTTATATAGGTCCAGAAGTAACAGTTGATAAAAAGGAGATCAGAAAAAAATCTGTTAAAACAAATACACAGCATCACCTTGACGTATCTACAATTATTAACACCTATATTTAACCACTAACTTTACCCCTGAAAATATTAATTACCTATTTTATCTGAAAATGAGTATTTTACTTATAATGCTGCATTAATCTCAACTAAGTTTAACAATTTATTCAAATTATAAATATTCTAAGAAATCATCCTTTTTCTTGTTTAATATAGAACCAGCACATAATTTGCCCTTATTTATCTTCTTAATGGATCCTCCAAAAATAAAAACTTATAAAAAAATTTTACTGTTAGCACGAAACAATAATTTTGAGATAATTTTTGGTACTTGCTGAGATTTTAAAGAAATCTTGAGGTACCACTAAATCAGAGGTGGAATTACCGCTTTACAGCATGTGTCTCTGAAGTTAACTAGTGACATCAGACCTACAAAACTTCAGATTCTAGCAAAATGATAATTTAAGATGGAAACCAGTAATGGGTAATATGTCAATTTTGAAAACTTTTTGAATGTATGATATAAGTTTAAGTGAAGACCTATTTACAAAGTCAAGATTTTCTTTTTTTTTTTAAGTAAAAAGAAGCTGCAACTGAAAGCTACTAGAGGTACAGTTAATGACAGAATCAAGTAACAAGATCCGAGATAAGGGCTAATAAATAATGAAATAAATATTATAAAAAGCTAAAAAAGGGGACAGATATTAAAAGGGGTCAGTGAAGCATGTGAATGAAGAATATTCAACATTCAACCAGGAAGTAGTCTATAGAGTAGACTCTCTATACAGACTATAAATAAGCACTAGAATTAGAATCTATCCCTAACATACAAATACTCATACACACATACACATGTGCAAAATCTTTTTAGAATTCTCTACCCATCCCTAAACTTTGCTATATATTTAGTAATTTTTTTAAGGCAAATGCTTTGAATGTCCATACTTCTTGTGTTAATCAGCCATTCTATCTTCACAAAATGAGACCTTTGATTTGTTATGAATGCATAGCTACCTGAGAATATAGTATTTTCATTATCTGTAAGATTTTCACTTACTGTCCATATTTTCCTCCCTTTTTTTTAGCTCCTTGTACTTCTGATTCATTTCACCTGTAAGAGATACAAAATACAACATTAATTTCAAGATGTAATGCTGTAAAGTAGAAATATCTCTTAGGTTCTCCATATGCCATTAGTCATGGATTATTCAATATTTTTCAATTAGGTAAAAACTAGGTAAACTTCTTATACATTGACCTATACAAGGTGTATAAATGTTTAAAGGTAAAACAGCTATCTATGGCTCTCTTCCTCTACGCTGCCTACAGAGGTGGCGCTCATCTTTTACTCGGTATCATGGCCGCCCTCAGACCACTTGTGAAGCCCAAGATCGTCAAAAAGAGGACCAAGAAGTTTATCCGGCACCAGTCAGGCTGATATGTCAAAATTAAGCGTAACTGGTGGAAACCCAGAGGCATTGACAATAGGGTGAGCAGGAGATTCAAGGGCCAGATCTTGATGCCCCAACATTGGTTATGGGAGTAACAAGAAAACAAAGCACATGCTGCCCAGTGGCTTTCGGAAGTTCCTGGTCCACAATGTCAAGGAGCTTGAAGTGCTGCTGATGTGCAACACATCTTACTGTGCTGAGATTGCTCACAACGTCTCCTCCAAGAACCACAAAGCCATTGTGGAAAGAGCAGCCCAGCTGGCCATCAGAGTCACCAATCCCAATGCCAGGCTGCGCAGTGAAGAAAATGAATAGACAGCTTGTGTGCAAATTGTGTTTTAATAAAACCATAAAATTCTTCAAAAAAAAAATAAAATAAAATAAAACAGCTATCTATGCATGTTTGACAATTTGAAAAAAGCCATCTCCTGACTGGAAAGGGCTTTAAAGGCTTTTCAATGGTTCTCTATTTCAGTCCCAGACCTGGGGCTATTCTTCAACCTACACATGAACTCCTGGTGATTATGGGAAACGTATGCTCCCAAGAAAATACATTCCATCTCTGCATAGCTCACAAAGGCAAGGAAGATAGCAGGGTTACTTCCTCCACAGAGCTTAAAGTCTAGGGATTTAACAAGTCGTTAAAATTAAAGTGTAAGTGCTATCATATGAAAAACAAAAGGTGATACAGAAGCACACAGCAAGAACAACTTGCCTAGTTTGGGATTCAGGGAAATTTTCTCTAAAGAAGTAATATTTAGGCTACATTAGAAAGAATAAATGAATAAGAGTTACCTGGGCAAAATGTACAAGAATGAGTTCAAAGTCAAAGCATTACAAGTACAGAAATTTGAAGTGAGGGTGAAGATGGCAGCACAAGAAACTGGAAGACTCATATAGCTGAGGCAGAGAAAGCAAGTGACAAAGTGGCACAAAGATGAGGATGGTCACGTGATACCTTATTAAGACACATGTTATAAATGTTTGGACTTCCTTCTAAGGACAATGGTAAAATTACTGAAGAATTTTAAGCAGGGGAATAAAATGATCAGTTTGCATTTCTGAAAACATATTTCTGGTCTGGAGAATACAAGAGAAGTAAGATGGTGGTAATAAAACCAGTTAGGAGGCTGGCACAGTGATCTGGATGAAAGATGAAGGCTGACTAAATAGAGTGATGGGAATTCGGATGTAAGGCTGTGAATATTTATTTGAGACATTTAAGAGCCAGGCTGAACAGATTTTGGTGAGGGTCAGACAGAGAGGGGCCAAGTATGACTCCTGGGTTTCTGACTTGGGTGATGGAGGACATGGTTGTATTAACTGAAAAAAGAAGCAAATTGAGGAAGAAGGTACTTACAACAATTTTGGACATGTTGCATTTAATATGACATGTTTAAAAGGACAAAAATCCAAGGCCCAGACACAGACGAAATGAAATCTGACACTTCAGCTGCATAAAGGGACCATCAGTAGAGGTGGATCGCAATTATTTTATGGCAACAGGATTTTCAGTGTAACAAAATTTGAATTTTGGGGACACATGGTTATTTTTGTGGACTAGTGAGACAGCTGCAGCGCTGTATTTCCAGGGCCCCAGGTAGAGAAAGTGGAATAAATTTGTGCTTGCTCCATTCTGCAGCTTCTTCACCCAAGTCAGTTAGTTGCTAGCATTCTGGAGAAACTAAGGAAGCTGATTAAGATGATGCCCAGCAAGGATGGAGGGAGTAACAGGCTGGAGATTCCTAAGGGGGTTCCTGATAAGGAGCCGACATCTAGAAGGGCTTTAAGGAAGAAGAGTCCAAAGGAAAAGGAGATAATAGTTACAGAGGTTAAAACCTAATGGTTAGCCTGTGTTCCCTACATCCTGCTATATTAGGTATACAGTTTTTCCATGTACAGGCTACAGCAGCAATCAAGTTGGGAAGCAGAGGAATATCGTCGGGGTAGAGCTCCTAATTATATGGAGGCATGGATTTCCATTTGTATATACACTTGTTTGGTAAGAAGTGAATTCTGAGTACATGAAGGTGAAGGCAAAGCCAGTCACCTGGGTCAGCAGACAGCTTTTTAGCTTCCTGGGCTGAAAATATTCTTTCCAAAGTCATTGAGGACAGCCCTAATCTACAGAAAATCTTGTCGAGGCCCCCCCAACAGTACTGAGTGTAAAAAGCTGAAAGTGAAAGCTACTGTCTAAGGATAGAATGTACCCAGTAGTCATGAATTCCTGGCCAGGGAACACCCAGAGCCAACGGGAAACACTGGGTTCACTCAGGCTAAGGCTTTGGATGCATCAACAACTTTACTCAACTGCTACTCAGTTCAAAAGATCAACCATGGACTCAGAGCTTGCTGATGCAGCATGATTAGTAGTGAAGGGGAGGGAAGAGAATTTGTTATTAATAACAAACTTTGTAAATGATTAAGTTTTAAAAAAATACATTATAGATGGATTAACAGTCTTGTAATAATGTCAGCGTTCACTTACCTTACGGCAATGTATTCTGAGAATAGAGAGCAAAGAGGAGAAAGAATGAGCATTTACAGTGCGCGGGATCTGGTACAGCTTCACAAGAGGGTGATGTGTGTGCACGTTACATAACCTATAGGAAGCAGCGGCAAAGCCAGCATCTGCTGACCCTTCCATGGCCGTGGTCTCTCAGAAAGTCCTAGTGCCTTGCTGTGGCTGTGAGGAGCTGTCCTCTTGAGAGACTGATCAGGCATTAAGGGATTAGAGGGAGGCCTGCAACATAGGCTTTACAGGAATTTGAGTAATCTTATCTTTCCTCTTCTAAACTTAAAAGAAGCTCCTACACATGCTGTTTCCAGCTCCTCTTCTTGCTATTGGATCTCAAGACATCAAAACGAGGCTTCTCCTCAAACTGTTTCAACGAAATTATTCTCAGTAAGGTTATATGACTTTTTACTGATCAAATCCAAGGGACAGTTTCCAATTCTTATCTTATGCTGCAATATTTGACACTATTGATACATCCTTCCTTTTTACATTTTTTTCCCGTATTTTTTTTTTTTTTTTTTTTTTGGTGGGGGGGGGGTCATGTTTTTTCTTATTCCCAGATAATTCCTTCTCTGTTTTATCTTCATGGCTTTTTCTTTTTTCTTCATTTAAATTCTGGGTTCTGCTCTTAGTTAACTTCTAATGCTACATTATATCCAAAGAGATCCCACTTATTCTTATGGTTGAAGAGTTCTTAAATTTTCACTCATTTTCAGACTGTTTTATCCACTTGCTTACTAGATATATTCATCTGGATATTTGTTGGGACACCCTAATACTAGTAATATCCCCATAAATAAACTCATCAGTCTTCCCGCTTAAAGTCTGCACCCCTCAGCATTCCCTATTACATTTGGAAGTCCTCACCATACACTATCATCCAAGTCAGAAACCTGGGATCCTCCTCCCTCCTGCCCCCCTCAAATCCACACTCCTGGTTGCCATGCAATTGAGCAGGACGAAATATCTGGTCAGTATCTCCAGCCACAAAGCTGGCCAGCTGATTAGATAGGACAGAGCTCCCACATACCTTAGCAGCTTCCCAAGCTTCATGAAACCTCCTCCCATATCACTGTTAAAAAGAACAGCAGTCAGGGCACTAGTGAAGTGCTCTATTTTGTGATTTCTCAGTTGGAGGATTAGTATGTGAGCTACTCATGCAAGGCAATGTACAGGTGTGGGCAGTCCTAAGGTAGAGGAAGACAGGTTGTTAGAAATCTATCCTTAGGTTTGCTATCACAGGAGAGGACAAGACCATAGATGGGGGAAGCTAATCATGTATCAGTTTGGAGGTGCAAAGCAGGCAGGCAAAAGGGTCTAATGTAGTAAAATCAAGAATGAGGAGACCAAAGGAGGGGGAAAGGACATGCTCATAAAATGAGAGTGATTTCACAGCTATCCTCAAAGTCTGAGCATTGATGTGATCATGGTTGCACACAATTTACTCCACATTTACTGAGTACCTACAGTGTGCCATATAATGTAATAGGTGCTACAAATATCAAAATGCACAATAGTTATCAGTCTATGCTAAAAAGACAATCTTTTTGGTGTACAAAAATAAAAAGTTACAATGCAATGTAAGTGCTATAACTGGGGTATGTATGAAGTACTAAGGTAACTAGGTGGGTGAAAAGAGTTCAGGAGGTTTTTACAAAGAAAAGTATCATATCAGCAAGGCACTTTAACAGGTAACGCAGGAATCACAGAAACGAATAAGACCGTTTCCTTCAAGAAAAGTATACTCTACCCCAAAAGTACCCCAAATGTACACTATAAATTCAAGCCTTTTTTCCCTTACAGGGAGGAAAGAAAAAATGGGAATGGACTGTTACTATAACTGGGATATTATAGAGAGGACACCATTGCTTTCTGACATTCTCTGCTACAGATGCCAGTGGAGTGATGGAGATAGGATATTCTTGCACTACCAAGGGGCTGAGTGCCAACAACCACCGTTGTCCTCACTGTCAGTACGTGCAGCTGACTCTTATTTTTCTGCCATCTAAAGATGTTCTCTTAACTCAGGGCTTCCAAAGCGATCTGCACTTGTATACTCTGAGAAGCAGTTATGACCTTAGAGAAGGCCTGACTAGCATTTTCCAAAACAGGCGGGTACCCCCACCTTCTTCCTGATCAATACCAAACAAGGCACATGCTAGTGACTCCCCCAGCCTCAAAGCCCCAAGTTGGCAGGCCTACTGGTTTTGGAGGTGACGGGGTAGCAGAAACCAAATAAAATTAGAGAGGTGGGACCAGAATAAACCCCAAAGGACTTTTGCACATCCAGGTTCTTTCCTTTCCAGCACATAGGGTTCTTCTGAAAGAAGCTACGTCTCCCAGTACCTCCAAGGGTTCCTTATGCATACGTAGCATGGTTTCATTCTCTCTGTCATTCTGTTCATTCTACTCAGTGAGTTCCAGTTCTTCTTTATCCCATTTATTTATTTATTTAAGATTTTAATTGGGGAATTGGGGG